ATATATATATATATATATATATATATATATATATATATATACAACTGTCTATAAGAAATTCATGACCTACATTTCACCCAACTTTATTTCCAACTTTATCTAACTTCATTTCTAACTAATTCTATTTCAGTTCTGCTTCCTATCGAATATTGATAATATGGGTGCGACGGTTGATATGAATGTATTAAATTTCATTGTACAGGAAGTAAACGGTCAGCAGCCAGAATTTGTAATGGAAGTTACTAATAAGACCAGAGCCGATATTAAGGTTTATTTATATTAATTTCACAACTAAGTTTTTATGAAATTTTGAAGTGTCAGAAGTTTTTCTTAATGAGATCCATTCATTTATGAAGCCAATCTATATAAGTTTCAGGGTGGTACACTTATTCAGTATGAGGGTCGATTAATGTTACTGGAAATCGCTCAAGTGCCGAAAGATTATGTTGATGAATTTAAAAGCGTAAGCAAATTCAGGTTTGTTCAGCAGCATCCAAATTTCATTTATATTTAGTTCAAATAAAAGAAAATCTTTACTGATACTAACAACAAAACTATATAAAATATTGTAGGATATTTAATACAAACAATTTATGGGTTAAATTAAATGCAATCAAACGAGTGGTCGAACAAAAAGAATTGGAAATGGAAGTGATCGTTAATCCAAAGCATCTGGATCGTGGTGTCGATGTGATACAACTAGAAACTGCTGCTGGTGCTGCTATCAAAAATTTTAAAGGAGCATGCGGTATATTTTTTGAAAATTTTCGCGACCATTTTCTTTCTTGTTTCTTGGTCAGCCAAAACAAAATCTATTTTTAAAAAGTTAATTTCTTTTTTCTTTTTTGCAGGAATTAATGTTTCTCGCTCACGGTTCCTTCCTGTTAAGACGACCTCTGATCTTTTATTGCTTATGTCAAATTTATATGAAATTGAAAATGGTAACCTAACATTAAGTCATCTTCGTTCCTTCCCAACAACACCACTTGTGAAATTGGGTAGCTGTTTTGACAAAGTAAGTCACTTTTTTGATACTTTCTCAATTCTGTTCCCAAAACATATGGTTATATTTGGCATACAGTTTATTTTAAGGTTAACATATCAAACAGTATTAATGAAAGTGTTTCGCTGGATATCACTAAAGTATTGAATATTCACTACAACAGAAAGACTGGCTTTTCTTACCATGTCGAAGAGACTAATGCTACTACTCTTTCAGGTACAAGAATATTTGATGCGTTTCCAGGGCATCCCTGATCTGCTCGAATTGGATCACTTAACAGTATCCGGTGACGTATGGTTTGGCAAGGATGTTACATTGAAGGTATTTTCTTTTCATGTTCATATGCTGAAAGTTTCTGACCGTAGAGAATATTTAGTTTATTTATTCTGTTCAAAACTTCAAAACATATGGTCATATTTGGCATAAGGTTTGGTGTTGTTTTCTTAGTTAATTTAAATCAGTGATTACTCAGTGTATATTTTTAAAAACTGTTATTCAGTACATCCATCTTTTCCAGTCTTATATTACTTTTCCTATAGAAATTTTTTTTTCCTGAAATTCTTTTTTTATGCTCGTGGATTATATTTTCATCTGTATATTTTATTTTCAATTGGATATCATGAAATATGCTTGAGTTTTAGGGTACAGTGATAATAATAGCAAACCATGGTGATCGTATAGATATTCCACCAGGAACCGTTCTTGAAAACAAAATTGTTTCCGGCAATCTTCGGATTCTGGACCACTGATAACTTCTCATAAAATCTTTTAAGGAATTACCATCATATGGATTTTTTTTCTCGAAATTAATAAAGATTGGAACTTTGCTACGTGCTAAAATTTGTCCATATATTGCAAGAATCATTTATTTGTGCATAGTTATTAAATTTCTTTCGCTTTTCTGTGCTTCTTTTGCTAGGTTTTCTTTTTCTTTTTAAAATCATGCGGTTTTTAACTTGTTGATCGATTAGTTGAGTTTTTAAGCGTTTGGTTATGGAGCGTTGAACTTCGATAAATAGGAATCTGCTGATTTTTTGTTTCAATCAGAGACTGTGAGCACTAAATTTTTCAAAATTTCCTTTTTTTTGCAGATTACGTCATTATTTCGTTCCTATTAAATTAAATTCTACTACCTTAAACTTCAATGTGATACTGATGAGTGTTTAAACAGAAAATCATTTATCTTTTGTATTAACGAGCAAATATGGTAGGAAATAGTAGAAAAAACAGAAAAAGACCAAAAGTGTCGATAAATTATGATCACCCTTACTGCAGTAATTCGACGTTACTCTCGTTCCTTGTTCCTGATGGTACTGTCCCATGATTGAAAATTTGGAATTTTTAAAAACAGTGATTCCACGAATGATTTTACTGCTAACAGAAATAAAAAGATATGGTGGATTTCCTGAAACCCGAGAAATTAACTTCTTTTTGGAGAAGCACTCGTGAAGCAATATATTGCTGATAAGACCTTTGGGAGGGATAATTTACCGTTTATTTTACATGAGCAGCTCAGTTGTAATTTATTTCCATCGTAACGACTTTCATATTGTAATATATGCTTTTATAAGGAAGTACATATGCAGCTTTAGGTTCGTCGCTTATTTGCTTATAGCACATTAAATATCACTATTCATAAGGAATAGCTGGAGTCTGACCGCACATCCTTTGTGATATTTTCCTCGTTATATCAGTCCATCTTGTTTTTTTTTTTTTTTTTTTTGTGACAATTCCAATGAACTGTTGGAATAGTGCACTGGTGCAGTGATTTATATCTAATCATTTTTCCATTGTATCATACTTTCAATTCTGTTATATTTATACTGGTTTTTATCATTTGACATTTTGTTGGCTACATCCACTTCAAGCATGGAAGCCATACCTAACAGCAGGCTAAGTGAAACATTCATCTACAGGCATTGAGTGTAGAAGTATGTTTAATTAGAAATTTTGCGATAAACAAAAAAATGTGCGCACCTATCTTTAAAATACTTTTTCTTCATTTATTCTGCATAATACGTGAACTGTGGAAACCTTTCATTTGAAAATTTTTACTGTAGGTAAAGTAATGATATTCTATCAGTAATGCTGACCTGCTATATAATAGAGCACTGAAAGATGAGGGCCTTCATATTTTATGTATCTTTTTCGGGGTGAATTAAACTAAAGTTATAATTGAAAGCTTCATACTCTTTATATCTAGTGACTTCTATTTGAGTTACTTCCCGAAAGATTATCTCATCTTTAGTGAGAAATCTTAATACGAAATTACATGGAGAAGAATGACATTTTGTCTTTGTTCAAAATGCGGAGTAATTTCTGTAATTTTCGTGCTGCTACCGAACGATACTCCTAAACAACAACAAGCGCAAATATCAGAATGGCGAGTAGTCCCAGCGCAATTATCACGGCTATTGTCCACAACAGTTGAGCTATTCCACCACACCAGAAATTGGTTTTACTTGACTTCCGCACTTCCTTGCCTTGATGTTTTTGTTGTCGAGTCGTTGGCTAAAATGATAGCCGTTTATTTATATGAATTACTACTATGTGCGAATCATTTTCTCAGTAACCGACTTAGCATGGGACAACAGCAGGGCGGAGGTGATTATGCACTTGTTTGCCGGAATAATAATTTATTTCATTATCCATCCTGTTTAAGCTATCTGCTAATTATTTCCGACCATCTGTTTGATGGCCAAAACAGTGAATAATCACATGTCGATATTGTTCCCTGATGATATATGTACACCTAAGATGGGAATGATTCTTCCTCAGGAAAATCGACCATACTTAACGTAATACCATTCATACCTTGGGCGCATGAAGTCGTATCAAATCACATTTTGACTTACCGCAACATTCGAGTAGTATGATAGATAAGGTAAGGACGGGGAATACTGTGGTGGCGGTGAGGTGAAGTAATACGGTATGAAAGGCTGGGGAGGATACCATAATTGTGGAATTGCGGGGAAAGAAAGAGCTTGTGAACTGTAAAGGATGAGGTCTTTGCTTCCTTCCATACCGTTGTTAATACCATTGAAACGCATACACCTGGCAATTAAATAAATCTAATAAAGGAGGAAATGTAAACAAATAAGATATCCCCTAATTAAGTGGTCTCAATGGTACCATTAAATCTCAACAAAAACCAAAATTATAAAGAAGGAAGGAGAAATGATGCAATCATTGTGTCCTTTAGAAAAACGAACACATGGCGACGAACAAGCGAGAGATGGACAGATGGAACGGTGCGTAAATTAACTATCTGCACCCTACTGCAATGTAGAAGTGAAAGTGCACGACGCATCGCGCATACCTACCTCTTTAGAGTACTTGAACTAATCGAATTTCTCTGCAGTCTTCGTGATCCATTTCTACACCTTTCTATTGACCAGTTTTGTGGATTCTAAAAATGCATTAAGCCGATCCTATTTAAGGAATTTTAAAAGTAACTTATTTAAGAATCCTTATTAATGAAAAGATTTGGATGCCTTTAGTTGAGTGATGATGATTTTTGGTTAGTTGATTTCCTTCGTCAGAGAGCAAGCAGAGTTGGAATTGTATTCAGCTTGGAAAAAAGAGAATTGGACATACAGTAAAAATTAATTTCATTCAGTTCGATGCACTCATCGAATTGGTGCGAACAGTTTTCTTGTCAAGATCAATTTTCTTCAAAATTCGGTCAAACTGTCTGAATTCAATGACAAGACACATTACCAGGTGACATCATTTGCTCTTGAAATCAGGTTGAAGGAATGTTCCTAAGGAACTTGCTGATTTTATTTTGTGAATTACATTTAAAACACCCAAGAACAATTAAGATCCACTTGTCAAAACTATTTTATGAATATATATTAACTTTCGGATGCGGCTCAGAATCGTGCAGCTCTCATGGATATGAATTTTTTCAACTGTTTTTCTCTCCTTCTAAAACAAGGAAGCCACCGTTATGTTTTGGTATATGATAGAACTTAGTCGTATGTGCTCAGTTTGAACTTACTCCATAATTTCAAACAATTCTTTAAGAAGACAATTTTTGAACTATAATTTCCAATTAGGAAGAACCTATTTGAGCAGACAATCTATTACATTTTCTTATGATAATCAAATTTTAAATTTAACGCTTCTGATTTATCTATCCCTCACCAACTGAATCAGTCATTAATCATTCTGAAGCATGAGTTGTTGCAACAAAAATGAGAAGTATACCTGTAATGACGAAGTAACACATGCTGTAGACATATTGATGTGACCAATTTGTTTCTATAATTGAAAGAAGGATAACATATAACGAGCAAAAACTACTATACAAGGTCAGTGGCCGTTGTCATCACATCACAATGATGGGCTATTACATCTGGTCCATGCCATAACACAGGTAAACAGTTCATTGACAACAAAAATATAATGGGATCATCGTTTCTCTCATCAGTCATTACCCTCTTCAAAAATCCATCCTTTCACTATCATTTTGACATAGCGGCAGATTTGTCATTAACGGTAAATGTTGTTTGGTTGTTGCTCAATTCCATTATACTGAAGGGATGTGAAACTGTCACCTTTTCATCTATCCCATTGTCTTTCTCCATCTGCGTTCGCCATAAATATGACAATTCTTTCCTGTCATTCCAATTCCTTGAGTACTTTTCTTGTGAACATCCATCCCCGCATCTAGGTCCTGAAGTCATGCAAATGATGACACATTTCCATTTCTTGCGGAATCATAAAATCAGAATAATTAAAAAAGAAAAGTCAAACATGCCTAACCACTTGGCAATACTACTTTTACTTAAAAAAGAAAAATTTAATGTAGTGGTGGGTCTCAAGACATGATATCCGACGAGTAGTGGGTAAAATATAGGCATTGAAGGGGGTGAGGGAGAGGTTGGAATGGAAGTAGTTCCACAAAAAAAACGCATTAATTCGGAAAAGAATTATTTCACAGCTTGCATCAGAAAAGACCATTAAACCCTGCATAATAACTTCCTACTTTATACTACATTGTTCAACACAAGACCTCATTTTATGCAGAAAATTGCCTCGAATTAACAACAATTCATAGTCATTGAAAAATTGCAAATGCACCCTGACCATGACGATTGCTTAAAATATGTTGGAATATATCTCTTATCTCAAGCACAACTGGCTACAAGACACAGACAATATAAGATCAACAAAACTCTTGTCTGATGCCAATCACATCTTCTAGATTAGACTAGTCTTCAATGCTATTTATAAAAAGAACAGAATCACTGACCAATGACTATAGAAATATTATTTCTTTAACGAAGAATAAATTACGTGAACCAAAAAAACTGCCCGGTTGCCTAACACACCACCTCTTCTTCCGTATCACGCAATTCTTACTACCCTATCTTCCACACTGATAAAATGTGGAGAAACAAGGGTAACGATGTTTTTGCGCTAAAATCACCTGCGTTACAGAACATTTTACAGGCAACAATATAGAATAGTAATATCGAATGGAGTTATACTTCATATTTATTCCGTAAACTCAAAAAAAATGTGTCAAGGTAAACTCGACTTTATAACTGAAAACAACACAAATCCATTTTCAACAAATTTTCAAAAGCAAAAAGTAAATGTGGAAGGAAAAATTACAACTTTTTAAGAAACAGAAAGCAATAAATGAAGACATCAAAAAAAATGTTTCAAATCCAAGCTTACTTCTGCAATAGTAACATATAAATAAAATAAATAGTAACATATCAATTTACTTTCTTCAAATCATTTTCAATAGGAGCTTCTTTAATGAATGGTATTAGTTCTTTATAAGGATATGGCATAAATTGCCTTAGAATTTCTGGCACACGTATACCGTTCTCTTCTTGATAATTTTCCAACAGCGCACATAATACACGTGTAGTTGCACACATTGTACCATTCAACATATGTACGTAAGATACCTGTTAAGATAAATTGGTGTGTATGCCAAGTAAATAAAGAATTCCTATTAAGGACTCGAACTAATTAAAATTGTCAGAGCATAAAAATTTTCCCAAAATCTCGAAATTTTGCGGAACCTTTTGAACACCGAAAATAAACTCTGAATACAATAACAGTCAAAGGAAAAACATACTTCACCATCCAGTTTCTTCGTTTTTCCGTAACGGATTTTCAAACGTCGAGCTTGATAGTCGGTACAGTTCGAACAAGAAACTAATTCTCTGAACAACTGCTGTTTAAATAAAATAGTAAGGGTAAATTTTCAAAAATGTATAAAACAAAATATGATTTTCCAACGGAATCCAATAATGAAAGAATAGAAAGAACCTGAATGCAGCACTGCCTGGAAACCACGCCTCTAAATCAAGCTTTTTTGCAGCAGCATTATTAAGTTCTCCCGAAACAATGCATACAATTCGAAACGGTATACCAAGTGCTTTACAGAAATCTTCAGCGTTTTCAACCATCTATAAAATCGATATAGCAACTACCATACTGCGAGGAAATAATGCAAAAATCGACTAGACGATTTTTTTCCAACCAATATTAATTTTCACCCTCTTTATTCGATTCATTTGCCACCCTTACTTTTTAACCCTTTTAAGATATTTAAAAGGGTTAAAAAGCTGAATATAAACAATATAATGCTACCGTGGGGAAAATTGTATCGTTAATGTAAGAAAGGAAATTCTAAACTCCTCATAACAGTTCTACCATATAAGTTCCTTTCCTTTCTCCTATCTTTAAATTATGGTCATTTGTTGCTTTGCACAATAACTTGAGAGATTTAATTAGAGCGACCTAAGCCAAGTGGAATTGTTGACCCTAATTCTCACTGAATAAATCAAAATGAGGATATCCATGACACTCAGAATTGCAATAAAAACTGACTCATATCAATATCAAAAACTAATTTTTCAAATGTTCGCTGTACCAAATTGGCATCCTTTGCAAATTTACTCCATAAGATCCTTATTTGAAGAAGTTTTTGAAGACCATCAAGTGCAATGGCTACAAATCATTTTCAGTAGTGCAACGTAATTTGTAACTCAAAACTGGTAACTCTTGCCACTTTAACAGCAAAAGAAAAAGCAACGTTTACCTCATCAAGCATTTTCCAACTTTCGTCATCATGTGGAGAACATAGAACAAACTGCTCGACTTTTTCAAACTGATGTACTCGGAAGATACCACGGGTATCTCGTCCATGACTTCCGACCTATAACTTCTAGGTCGAGTTAAATTGTGGGTCCTAACGAATTACTGAATCAAAAAATGTGATTACCTCCTGGCGGAAACAGGATGATATGCCGGCATATTTAATTGGCAGATCTGCTTCACTAATCCATTCATTTCGGTGATAAGCTGCGATTGGTTGCTCGGATGTGGCTATGAGATATTTCTCGTCATTGGTTTCGTCTCCGATAACTTCAGAACCTTTCCCAGTAACCTGTTATAGTACTTTTTGTCATGAATTATCGAAAAAAGATAAGGAAATAGCTTTCCTAATGAGTTTCTGCCATATCAAGAGTAATAAGGCTACTGTTTTGGAAGAGAAACCTTGTAAAGCTCCTGATCGAATTGACTAAGCTGTGCCACTTCTTGCATCACTTCCTTACGCATGAAAAATGGAGTGTAAAGCGTGACGAAGCCTTTGAAATGTAGCATTTGTAAAGCAAGATTGATAACTGCTTGTTCCAGAAATACTAATGGACCCTAAACAAAAACAAGTATGACCAGATAACCTTGCCACAAAATTAAAAGAAGACCTGAATCAATATTTAAAGTAATGAATTGAAGGACCTTCAAGAAATAACCGCGGCCACCGGCAATAGAAGTTCCACGATCACCATCAAAGCCATCAATCATCACACAAAGATCTATCTGAAATATAAAAAGTAAAACAATGACGCAACATAAACAAGGATATGCAATACCATTAAGAATCTGTTTTTAAGGAATTTCATTCAAAGGAAGAAATCTGCACATGAATCTGTACATCTGATAAAACGTCTCTTCTTCATTGTTTTTGACGAACACGTAAGCGGTAATTTGAGAAATAATTCGAACTAAGCATCCATTTCAAAAACCATGTGATGTGCATTAACAATGAAAAACTGCTCTCACAAATAAATCTTAATTAACCTACATGTGAATATTTCTTCTTACTTTCGATGTCACCAAAAGTCTTCTCCACTTTATTATTGTCTTCATTATCACTGATGGGTACTGTGGAATGTATAATATTGCCTATTTGAATAAGACTTTGATGGCGTTTTGCTTCAAGCTTCTCCATTTCTATCTTTTTTTCCATAAGTTTCTTATCAATTATGCTCTTTAGTTTTTTAATTTGCAGTATCTCCAAATTCTAAAAATAAAAGTGAGTGATGAAAAGACTGCTTAAACAAAACAAGGAACCTCGCAATTTGTCATGCAGTTATTTATAAATTTACATCATATTTTATCGAACAAATTATCACAACTGTTGTAAATTGTCGTAGTAATGGAAACAATTACTGCAATACAAATGTAAAATGAATTAAAAAACTACCTACCTTCATGTCATCAGCATTAAGTACTTCTAAACGTTCCATATAATCGGTTGGTACCGGATTATCAGCATCGATCGCTTCTTTCTTCTAAAATCTTCATTATTCATAGCGATAATAACATCATTAAGCACCAAAGAAATAATGCAGCATACCTTTAATTTTTCTCCAATAACCTTGCTACATAAATTGATTAACCTGTTGAAATTGTCAGCGGAGAAACGCTCTGCAAAATACAATAGAGCAATTAGATTATTTTTATTATTAAAATAATTTATTAAAAGAACAATTTAAATCATTTTACTAAAAAACAATTTAAATTATCTTTGTTAAAATTATTAATAATTTTTTATTAAAATTCTTGTATCAACGAATTTTTATTACACTTATAGTTTGTCGCTTGTAAGTCAAAAAAATTGAAGAATATGAGAAAGGGGTATATAATCTCAAATTGCAAGAGCATGCAAGGCACTACGTAGCAACAATAGTATTTTCCTAACAGTGCTTCTCTTTAATTTCAATTAACAAATATAAAGTACGAATTCCACGACATTTCAAGTCACATACCGCTAAAGAACAATAATAGATTAAAGTAATACGGCCTGGAAGCAGAAGTCATTTAGCATTTGGAAGTTGGTCACTGGATATTATGTTACACATCTTAGGTCATTTAATTTTATACTTCATTTCAATAAACTGAAATTAATCTAAAAAGGAGAAAAGAGTCATTTAAAAATAATGACGCATGTTACAAACTCGATAACATTTCGACATGAAATTTTCTCGACTTTAATATCCAACATTAAATTCTCTCCTCACCTTTTCTCCATCGCTGATCATAATCAATAACTTCATCAACAAGTCTGACATCCTTATACCGTTTCTGCTGTGAATCTCGTATCAGTTCCGGATCACCGCCTTTCTCTTCTCGAAATAAATCAATATCCAGAACCATCCTAAAATAGCAAAACGAATATCGTGACTTACGAAATTTAATGGCAACGAAATCACGCGAATTCATTCGAACACAAGGGAAAAGCTAGAACTCGAGAAAAAAAAACTCCACAACTTCACAGAAATTGTAAATATCATAAACACGCAGGTGAAAACATCTGCAGTATGACAAAATCAAGGTTTAATTCAGAGTCGCAAACACCTAACATTATCTAGAACCCGGCGGTTCACCATCGCGTTTTAAATAAAACAATTTGTCTACAGGGAACAAGTAATACACCTGTTCAAATGTCTACCCTAACTTCCAAACATGTTACCAACGCAATTTTGCTTCACCACTTCTCCTTTGCACGCCATGAACAAGTATCTGCTGAAACTAAACCGCCAGTGAATTTATTGCCGGCCTAAATATACTCGACTCCTGACATCCCACCCATCTGAATGCTCGGTGCTCAGATGTTCTCTACAGCTCAGCACGAGACACTAGCTCGCTTTGCTTAATTCAGCAAATTAGTCCAGTTTTGAGTTCTAGAATATTAGGGATGCGAACATTTTGTTCATATAGATATTAAAAAAATGAGAGGATACTACCTGTCAGAAACTGATTACAGCATCTTATCACGATGTAAAGATGGTTACTAGCATGGTGAAATATAGCTCTGGTACACAGAAATGAAGTGGTACCTATTCTACAGAAAGAAGGAATTTAAATGCATAATATCATGAATCTGTGAAAGTTAAAAAGAGCGAATTTAAAAAATATATGAATGTCTAGAACGCCTTTATACTTCACAAAATAACAGGAGGAGGTACAACTACGAAAAGATTGCAATGCACATAAAAATGAATAAAACGAATACACCTTACACCGACAATACCCGTTTTACAAGGTTAACATAAGTATTTCAGATATCAAAATATGTTGATACGCAGCATTAAAAATCATTAATAACAAGGCTCTGTCCATAGCGTAAATTATCACCAGCGCGAATCGCAAACTGTACAGTTGGAGGAGCTTCGAATATCTGTAAAATTAAATGCTAAAAATTAAAATTTTTGGCATTTTAATGCTAATTAAACGCCAAAAATAGCTTATCATCATTGGTGAAACGAAATTTTTTCAGGAGGACAGTCCATCAATATTTTTCCGACAATACAGTATCAATACCATCGCAATACTAGATAGATTAAAAGGGACAATTGAAGTATGACTGAGTCCAGAATCCTAGTGCTTAAAGGAATGTTTATAAAAAGAAAGAAACAGCACAATATGGTGTTTATCTGATTTAACCGAACTAAAAAGAATAAGCAAGAAAAACATACTAGAACAACCGTTGATCCTAGACGAAATTCTCCAACTTTGTCGCCAGGTAGATATGCATGTTCCAGTTCTGTAATTACGGGTAACGCTTTGGACACTTCCGTCCGTAAGCGTTTGACATTTGTGTGAAGTAAGGGATCCTGAACTGAACAAAATTAAATTGCAACTCCTATGAGAATTAGTGGGCAATAAAAGTAATAGAATACTCCCCAATCACTAATACTTCGTTTTTTTTTTTAATTCATAAAATTAAAAGAACGAAAATTTTCAATCCTTCAGTGAGAAAGAAATTCAGTTTACCAATCCCAAGATAAAAAAACAACAACAGCTATATAAAATGCCGACGTACTGCGTTTATCGAAACATCCCCAACATTTGTAGCTGCGACAGCGCTCATTGAGAAAAAGCCATGTTTCCAAGATCCTTTTAAAACTACTCGTTCATTGATACAAAACAAATGAGGCATGCGAAGCAAAAATGATGGTCGTACCGACAATAATAATCCTAAAAATAGTGCTGTACGCTATGAAATAATGTCACATAATAGCCAGAAAGGATTCATTTCTCAAGACTGTTAATTTTGAAAACGGGATGTGAACTTACCGGGGAAATGTATTTCCTCACTTGCCATCCACTTTGCAGGAGCATGAAATCCGTGATAATTGCCAGGAGCGAGGTAAAGAACCACTTGATAAAGCTCATGTCCCTTCTACAGTTACATTATTATGAGTTATGAAGATACTTCAATATAAGAATCATTCTAATAGAATAACTGCCAGTTTAGCAAAAAAAATTTTATTAACTGCTAACATGAAATTCACTTTTTTGTTTTTCATATTCACTGGTCCTAAAAAGTCGCTAATATGATAATCATGGCCTTTCACGAACTCAATGCGTCCTTCATTCACTTTCCCGTAATGAATCACAACTCCGTCAGCTGGAGACACCTGTAAAGAAAATAAATCAAATTATTCATAAAAATATAAAAACTGGACAGTGAAAAAAGTTGCCGCCAATTACAAATCTTGGCGGTTTACAAAGGAAACTTCTTTCATTATTTTCAAAAATTACTATTGAAAATTTCTTTTTTTTTTTTTTTTTGGAAAACTGATGTATGAAGAGGACAACGAACCAAGTCTGAATCACTAATAGGCCTAACTGTAGATTTCAGTGATCTATTGAAAAATGCTGCTAAGGTTGGATAGGATGACAAATCGCTCACTTCAGCCTCATCCATTCGACAGTCATATACTCGAACATACATATATGAAAAATTTGTCATTAGTGCTGACATAACAAAGTCTTTTATCTGAATATTTGAGATAATTCTTTTGGTTTAAAGCTTACAGAGTTTAAACTTTTTGAACTCGAACAGTTTAAAATGAATCCACGTTCTTTTGATACCATCTAACATTTTCCAGTAGTTTAAATCAGCGGATTCGCAGTCCAGTTGCATTTTTATCAGTTATTAAGGAAATACTGATTTGATAAGCACATTTACTCTTTCCTCACTGGACGGATCTTTTCATATTTTTCTCTCTTTTCATTTACAGCTAACTTTTCTTCTACCGTACCTTTTATTTGCTTGTCCCGTTAAAAATTGTTACTATTATTAGGAAATAAAAAAACTAAAAAAAAGTAAAAAAATAAAAAAACACCTATTATTAGGAAATAAAAAACTGACAAGATCCAATTCAATCTGAAAAAAGGAAACTAACCGAATATTTTCGGTCGTAACCACACCGGAATATAAACATTAGCTAGGCTACCGGCAAAACGTGAAAGTGCATTCAGCGGTAGAGAAGAATATACACGCAACTAAAACTTCCATTTTTTTGTTTAAATTGGCTTATAAAATACATTGCTATCGATCATAAGACAGAAAAAAAAGGAAAACAACACAAAAAGAACATAAACAATTGTCAAACAGCTATGTCCCATAACAAATGATTTTAAAGGAAAGTTTAATAATTGCTGTTTCGGTCCACATTAATCTGATGAATCTATCACCCTGTTTTTTAAAAATCTATCTTTTATCCTCAGTCTTCTATTCTAAATATTTCCTTTAGTTTCCTAATGTTATAAAAACGACTTAAAGCCATGAACCGTGAAATTACATTGCCATAATTTCAGTTTATTGCTAACATTGACATTTATCCAAGCAATATTAGAAGTGTTTCAGCTGTTTGAAACATTTCTATAGTTATATCATCCTAATCTTCACTGTCAGTTTTAAATGGAGTTTGTCTATTCCACACAGCGTAGCATCTAAAACTTCACTGATTCTTTTATACTACCCAGAAATTTACAGTAGCTCAAATTTCAATGCAAACGAATAACATATGAAAGGGACACGAGAATTCAGTTGTAACTGAAGTGATGAAGTAATGTACCTTGTAAACATTAAGAAATTGATATTTTCAATCTGCTCAATTTTGAAAACAAAGCTAACAAAGTTTTCGGGAAATTTTTTGCTTTCCTTAGTCATGAAATGGATTAAGTTCGGATAAAACTGAGCATAGTAATAAACTTATGAAAATTAAAACATCTAGCAAGTGAATAACTTTACCTTCCAGTCAGAATAATAGTGCTTTTCATCTTGTAATTCTCGCCAATCTGGAACAAACAAATTATATAAATAAATGGTACTACTGCCAGCAAGAAAACCCACTGTTATCCATTTGAACAGTTTATAAAAGCGATGGAAAGTGATTTTTCGGAGGTTGTTTTTAGTATCGCCGACACTCGCAGTAGCATAACCCTGAAACAAATAAAACTCTCAATTCCAAGATAAAGAATTACGTCAAAAAAAAACTTAAATGCAATTTCAAATAGTTTGTCCTAATAAAAATTCACCATACATTTAGTTAGTGACGTCAAATTTAAAATGGTTATATATTAAAATGATTGATGTAGATACTGTTTTGATGCACTCATGCCTTGTTTACGAGAATGGTACATTTAGATAACTTCAATAAATTCTGGTTGAAGCAAATTCGAAAATAACTTGTGTTGGCTGCCAAATCATAACATAACGCAAGTAAAATGACATGTAATGTAAAACGACATCAACTTTTTATGGCATAAGGAGCAAAAGTTTTTCCACAGACATTGTACTTCACCAACAAACAGCATCACCGTATGATGGTTTTACTTACACTAACTCTAGCTTACTGCTTAATATGAAAACAGAAATGAACGATGAATGAACTTTTACAACGAATTCGTTACCTAATAAGAACCCTTGCGATTAATAAATGCTTCTTTCACTAAACATATTAATGGGCTTTTGAAATGAGAGCTATTCATGTGTCACGAGATCAGCATTGCTTATCAATAGCAATAATGTGAAAACAAGCCTCATTAATTGTACAACCTAAAGTGCACTCCCACTTCAACTGAAAATTGTACAAAATTTGTAAAGACTTATCAGAACCAACTTACTGCATAATCCCCAAAGCTCGTCCACTTTTGTTGAACAAGTTTGCGAATGTCAATAATAAAACATCGTCGTGATAACATCAAAGGCTATAAAATCTTAGGTATAAAACTGCTTATATAATAATCTAATAATCATCAAATCTAAAGATGTAAATACTTTGTTTTTCTCCTTCTTTAGATACAATTAAACAAATTTTGAAAGGACAAACATCTTTATTCCAAAAAATTTCTTTGAATATAAAAGATCGACGAAAATTCAATTGAATATTGGTAAATTTCAATTTCGCCAGATATTTCAGAAGACTTCGAAGCTTTCAAGTTCACCAGAAACATTCAACATAATGTTAGCTTTTATCATTTCTTCAGAAGGACAAGAAAAACAACAAGAATACTATTAAATTTCTTCAAATCAATTTTAAAAAACGAAAAGTTTCATAAATCAGTATAAATCACAGGCCCCAAAGTGGCTAAAGTAATTGGTATGGCTTCTTCCGTACGGATGATTCGACTTCCTTGTCCAGGTACAACATTGAGGTAATGTTCGAAAAGTTCTTCAGGAGTTGAACAACTGATATTTTTATCGGCTTCTATGGCTGCTTCTAACCCTTCTAGTCCACCAAAAACAATTAGAATTCGGCTGAAAAATTATTCAATTACAAAATATAACTTAGTATAAGAAATACTTTTGTATTGCTGCAGTCGCTCATTCAATTAATGCTTAAGGCTTTAAAATGTAACATGTTAAGAAACACTTGACAAACCGACGAAACCGACGAAAAAAAGGACGAAACCCTTTTCGTCCCTGTTCCCCATTCCTTACTCAAAAACACTATTTAAAAATGAAACTGCCTGTGAAATTAAAATAAATTCTTTTCAGATCAACTTCAATGTACATTTTATATTGTGGGACAAAAAAAGCTCACTTCCTTTCACATAACGGCATCTCAAATTTGCTCACTGGCTTTCCCCGTTCCGATGTTCCAATGATAACATCGTATTCCCCAGCATTCAATGCATCATGAAGACTTAAAGCAATGCGTACTTTATAGCCCCAGTATAATCCAGTTTCTCGCTTTATTTGTTGAGAATTTCACCAAACATCCATGATATCGCTTTCTTTCTACAAAGAAAATTTTTTTCTGCTCCATTACTACTAACTGCTATTTCGTGACCTTTTATTTTTCAACTAGTTTTTCGAATTTTAATTTCAATTTCAATTTAGATTTCAAAACTATTTTGTATATCTG